GTTCCAGTTTTTAGATGGAATGCTTTTCATTTTCTCCATTTAAATGATGTTGGCCTGGGCTTTACATAGATAGCTTTTATAATGTTGAGACATATTCCTGTTATCCCTAGTTTTTCTAATGTTTTGAACATGAAGGGGTGCTGTAGTTTGTCAAGTGCTTTTTCTGCATATATTGAGATGATCATCTGAATCTTATCTTTAAGTCTATTGATGTGATGAATTATATTTATTGATTTCCATATGTTGAACCAACCTCGCATCCCTGGCATGAACCCCACTTGTTCATGTTGCATTTATTCTTCACATTTTTTTTTTGTATTCAATTTGCCAGAATTTTATTAAGAATTTTTGCATCTATTTTCATTAGAAATATTGGTCTCAAGTTTTCTTTCTTTGATGTGTCTTTGTCTGGTTTTGGAATCAAGTGACACTGGCATCATAGAATGATTTTGGAAGTGTTCCCTCTTTTTCAATTTTATGGAATAATTTGAGGAGTATTGGTATTAGTTCTTCTTTGAAGGTCTTGTAGAACTCAGCTATGTAGCCATCCAGTTCTGGACTTTTCTTGGTTGGTAGGCTTCTATGATATCTTCTATGTCATTACTTGAAATTGATCTCTTTAACTTGTGTATATCATCCTTATTCAGTTTGGGAAAATCATATGACTCAAGAAATTTGTCAATGCCTTCAATATTTTCTATTTTATTGGAGTACATTTCAAAATAATTTGTAATTATCTTCTATAATTCTCTAGTGTGCATTGTGATATTTACTTTTTCATCATAAATGATACTAATTTGAATTTTCTCTCTCTTTGTTAGCTTGGCTAAGGTTTTATCAATTTTATTTATTTTTTCAAAGAACCAACTTTTTTTTCATTTTTTTTTGTTTCAATTTTATTAATTTCAGTTGTGATTTTAATTATTTTCTGTCTTCTATGCTTTTGGTATTGATTTGTTCTTTTTCTAGGTCTTTGAGATGTAATGTTAGGTAATTTATTTTTTGACTTTTTCCTGTTTTAAGGAATGAACTTTTCTCTAAATTCTGCCTTCAAAGTGACCCAAAAATTTCAATATGTTGTATCAGTGTTCTCATTTACCTCTAAGAATTTTTTAGTCTCCCCTTTGATGTCTTTTACAACCCATTCTTCACTCAATAGCATCATATTATTTAGTCTCCAGGTGTTGGAATAGCTTCTATTTTTTATTTTATCATTGATTTCTAATTTCATTCCATTATGATCTCATAGAATGAAGGTAGTGTCTCTACTTTTTTGTATTTGCTAAGAGTTTCTTTGTGACATAATATATGATCTATTTTAGAGAAGGATCCATGTGCTGCTGAGAAGAAAATGTATTCGCTCATTGATGGATGAAATATTCTAGATATGTCTGTTAAGTCTAAATTGTTGATTGTATTATTGAGTTGTATAGTTCCTTGTTTAGCTTTTGTTTGGAAGATCTATCCAGTCGTGAAACAGGTGTGTTAAGGTCACCCAGAATTATTGTGTTGTTGTATATTTGACTCTTGAACTTGAGAAGAGTTTGTTTGATGAATGTAGATGTTCCATCTTGGGGGGGCATATATATTTATAGTTGTTATGTCTTGTTAATGTATGGTCCCCTTGAGCAGTATGAAATGTTCTTCTTTATCCCTTTTGATTAAATGTGGCTTGAAGTCTACTTTATTTGATATGAGGATGGAAACCCTTGCTTGTTTTCACAGTACATGTGAGTGGTATATTTTTCCCTCAACCTTTCGTCTTCAGTTTGTGGATGTCTTTACCTAAGAGTCGAGTCTCTGGAAGGCCAAAAGTTCTACAGTTTCTGATGGCAGGAAAAAAACTGAGGATGAGTCTGAGATGTTGAGGGGCTAAGAGTTGAGGATATAGAGTTATTACATCTGAGAAAGCGTGGAATAGGAATCTGAAGAAGTTGGTTAGTAGCAGGAGAAGAGAAAGAAAATGATTTGGGGAATACAAGTAAGTGGGAAGGCATTAGAGTACAACAAACAAACAAATATTAAGAAAGGTAAATAATGTAAAAATAGGAGGTAAAAGAATATATAACACTACTGTAATGTACAATTTAACCATCCCAGTCCTCAGTAGCCTAATTTATGAAAAGTACTTGGTTTCACAAATGTTGGGGATGTAAGGGCAGGAGAAGAGAGAGACAGAAAGAAAAAAAGAAAATAAAAAACAAATCTCAAAAGGAAAATACAAGGATTGTTTTTGTTGGAGATCAGTATCTTCCAGGCTTCTCTTCTCATCTAATAGGTGGGGTTGTCTGTTGTTTGCTGGTATTCACCCTCAGGATGGTGAAGGTTATTAGGGTGGGAGGGTTGGTCTTGGGGGCGGAGCACGTGGAGGTGGGGCAAGTACTTGCTTGTCCCCAATGGAGACTGCACCCTAAGGACCTCCTTTGGGGCCCGCTCATGTGATGTGGGTGCCTGGTGTTATCTCCTATAGACCTCACAATTCCTGGTCTTTAATTTAGTCTCTAAACTATATCTCACTCACCCCATCCCTTTCCGCTTTCCAATCAAAAACCTTTCTCTCCAGATGTCTCCTGTGCTGCGCTCTGTGGGCTACACACCTGTAGGAGAGCTATTTTATATTGGGCAGTTCAGGCCTGGGTTTTGCAACCCAGTTTTATGAGCTACAGAGTGGCTGTAGATTGGCTTTGTAGTGGCCGGCACTGTGCCAGGTTAGTGGCTGCTGGGGAGAAGGGGGAGTTGGGGACTTTCAGGATCTTCATATTGTTTCTAATCTTCAGCCAGTGTTCCAAACTCGGTTGCCCCTACTAAAGATGGCAAAGAAGGTGTCCCAAGATGGAGGTGTCTGCTTTCAGCGATAGGGTAGAGTCAGGCTGTAGCTTTGAGTGGTGTGTTCAGAAATGCAGCTCTGTGGCATGCAGTATTATGGCTGGCAGCTGTCATGGAACCCAGTGCAGTGTCCCCAGGTGCAGGCTACCACGTGTATGGGACTGTGGCAGTGGCTGCAGTGCCCCGAGATGGAGGAGACTGGAGGAGCCCCATGTTTGTAGATAGTGGTCCACACAGGAGTGGCAGCCTTAGTGTCTGCACTTGGGCTGCTGCTAGGTTTTCTGGGAGCTGCAGTCAGGATTCCTTTGTGGGAGCAGTGACCAGGAGTCCTGATAGTGCCAGAGGGTCCTATTCGGGAGGACCTGCATGGACAAGTTTTTGGAAGTCCTGTGCTGACAGCTGAGGCACAGTAGCTATGATTCCTGTGGGGAGCAGCTGCTGGGGGTCTTCTAATCACTGACAGAGAAACATTATTTTCATACTTGAATCCCAGGTCCCAGAGCGACTCAGAATGCAGCCTCCCTCTAGCCTGCCATCTTGAATCTCACAACAATCTATTTTAAATATGAATTTATTTATATCTGTCTTTCACAAGATGATAGGTGCTATGAAGAAAAATACTGTGTCTTGCTCACCACTGAATTAACAGAATTCCTGCTAGCACACAATAGACACCTGGGAATGTGAAAGAAAAATTGCACTCAAGAGTTAAACAGGTGAAGACAGCTTACTTCCAAATGACAAAAATAGAGATATTGAATTTAACTGCTAAAACAAAGATTGGCAGAATCTTTAACAATCTGAGTGATTAAGTGGAAAGTGTTAGAGGACATTAGTTGGGAGGTTGGTCAATGGGATTAGCCATCAGTGTTTGCTAATTATGCTTATCTAAATTGGGCTCCTACTCTTTCATAGAGACTGGGAATTAGGGGCACTATTTTCTTGATCACTTTTCCAAAGGTCCTAGAGAAAGACTTTCTGCATAGCAAAATTGGCAGGAGACAGGAAGAAGATTTACATCTCAAAGGGGAAGATAAATTATTTACAATTGCAAGTTTTCTAAAGTAAGTAAGAATAAGAAGGTCAGGGCTTAGAGTTAGTAAGAAGCCTGTCTACATTTTGATCCAGCAAAAGGGAATGAAAAGGGCATCTTGGTCAAGATCTGTTTGTTGAGTTAGTGGATAATTAACCAGCAAAATGTAACATTTCATTATGAAGCATCAAAATCTTGGCATATAATAATGAAGGAATTATTATGACTTTGTGTTGACATAATTCAAATAAACAGTTACACAATACTTACCTGACATTTAACTTCTTAAACATTCAAACCTATTGTTCTGACTACATTTTTAGTTTTTCTAATTCATAAAAATAAAATAATATTAATATAATATGGTGCTGCACAAGTAGAGTTTAACATTTTAATTGAGCATTTTAGTTCTGTATTTACTAAAGCTTTTAAGAAATTACTGATGACTTTGAAGTACATTGTAAATAAATCAGTATAAGCATAGTAGTTAGAGCAGAAATAATAATTTTTATTGCCAGTTAACTGAAATTCTTGCATATTTAAAATGGTGTTTAATGTTGCTTAAATTATTGAAGCTATAAAGGAAATATATCCAATTTAATTAAACTTGTGTAATTTCAAAGAAGGTAAATTTAGTAGCTATACTTATATTCCCTAAAGTGTCTTTGGATATGGTATTGATAACATTTTTAAGTTATTTTTGCTTTTATTTTTTGCACATTTGAAATACTATGAATCACCTCATATATAGGACAACATTTAACTTAGCTAAATCTATCATATTGTACTTTGATTAATTTATATGGCTTATTTTGTTTCCATTCCAGCATCACCATGTCTCTCCCAATTGCAAATGCCCAACTATTTTGCATGTTTATGGAGCTTAATCCCAGGCCTGAATTTCATTAACTGACCATAGCTTTACTTGAATTTCTACAATAATGAGTTAATTCCTGAAATTTTGCAAAGATATGTGGGGAGAGGAGGGGAAAACATCATCTACATTTGAAAAGACCAAATTTACAAATCAGTGCTCCTTAATGCAATTTTTCCCCCTTGACTAGATGGAAGTTTATTTGCATGCATTCTAAGTGGCAGTAGAATGGGAAACTAAGATTTTTGTCATTTTGATTTAACACAGACTCGCCCAGAAAGCACAACCCTGATTTTGTATGAGAAGGACTATCTCTACAGAACCTAAAATGTGAGTCTTGTTGGTTTGTGATATTGAATTATTTAATGCTATGTCATTGACCTAGTGACATGACATGGAATTTATTAAAATACTTAATGAGACAGTCTCCAGTAAGTATAATCGTAGACTACAGTAGAATTTGTTTTATTGTTTGCTTTTAAAAAATTATAGTAATTAATAAATGTTTGACTTTGTAGATGATAAAGAATTTTTATGCTATATATTGATATTTAGTTTAATGCACATGGTTTTGTATGGTTTTGATATTCCAATGTGTTTATAGTTGATAAGGTATGTCAATATGATCCCTCATATATAAGCTTTTTCCGTGTGTGTGTGTGTTTTTTTGTTGTTGTTGTTCGTTTGGTTGGTTTGGTTTTACTGTTTTTAATTTTCTCTGTAACCAATATTCCTAAGTACTTGGAATGTATCTTTAGCATCTCAAAATTTCCTCAGAGTTTTTTCAAACAGAATAAATGGCCAGTTAAAGATGAAAGCTTGATGCACTTTTCTCCCTCCCTCTGTCTAGATTTGTCTTTCAGCTACTCACTAATGGTTGGCATCTCTTTTCCCTGTATGGCCTCTGATAAGCTGTCTTTGATAACCTGCTGTTTTGTTCTTGAACCTTGCCATGGCTATAAGTCTGGGATATCAGAACTGTCAAAAATAAAAGTAAAAGAGCAAAAAGCACACAGCCTGTGAAAGTTAGAGAAGATATAAGACGTGGTAATCGACTGATGAATTTTCAACTGGCAGATAGCTTTCACTTTATCCCATTTGCTGTCACAGTAACTGAAATAATAAGGGGATTTTTCCCCCCAATAATGGATGATGGGGGTTGTTTGCTTTGTGAGAACTGCCAAGGCGACAGGCCACATGGAGTTATCTTTGAAAGTGAGCGTGAAACAAGCTTGCCTGGCTGTAGATAAGAGACTTAGAAGAAATCCTATTCAGATGTACCTGTCACTAATTTATCTGAAGGTTTTGTGATTCATACATACTGTTCTGTGTGCAACGGAGCATTAAATTGCTTTCCTCTGGGAGCAGGTCACATTCAGGGGTTCTCAAACCCATGCTATTGGGCAGTGCATGTTTGATTCATATAGCTGTTTGCTATTGAATTTATATCTATTAGAAAGCTGGTAACCTGAATATATGTGAGGTGATCTCTTGGAACTTTTCAATAGTAAAAGGATTGACCAAAACTGTACTATCTCTTAATATATAAGTATTTGCAACAACAAAAAATTTAATCAACACTTCTGTTACCACAGTCAATTATTCTGATAATTATGTAGGTAAATATATATATATATATATATATATATATATATATATATATATATATATATATATATCTCCATGTATTGGCCTAGATCCTGGTGAATATACTTTAATGGTTCCTTTATCTATTTAAACAGAAAGATGTTCTTAAACTCATGGATTTATTCTAAAGAAAAAAAAAAATCCAGAGCTGCTTTAAAGCAAGACTCATTAAACAAAAAGCTTTAGAAAAGAAAGATCCTCCAACACCCCAACCCCCGATTTACAGTTGTTTTCATCTATGAAAATTCCACTTTATCACTCGGTGTATTTTGTAAAACAATGGCATACCTTCTGAAATGAAATAGATACTGGCTTTAATTTGAAAAGAGCATAAAAGTAAGAGATGCTTATTTGTGTGTGTTAAGATTATGCTGAGAGATTTTAGTATGGATTTTTCTTTCTGGATGTGGGTTCTTTTGCAAATATAGTACCAAGAAAAAAAAAAAAAGGTTTTCTTCATTTTATTATTTCCATGATGAGGTATGTAGAACTAAAACCTAATATCTTCTCATGGGTCTTAAGTGTGCTTCATTTTGTGCAAAATTAAGTCAATAAATGGCAAAGTGGCAGTTAAATGGAAGCAATCAGTGAAATCTTTCTAAAGTATTTTTAGCATGCCATGACAACAGTCTTTAGTGTGGGTAAATGAGCAACATAAACTGATATGTTCTCTGTATTTTTTTTAATTTAAAACTGTTCATTATATTCTGTATCGCAATGCAAAAACAAATGTGATCATTTCATGAAGTGGCAAAAAGAAGACTCTTTCAAGTGGATAAAAATGATGATTTTATTCTGCATTTATGAGGTATAATTCTTTAAATTCTGTCCCAGTTGTGAGAATGTGGAGCATCCAATATAAACCAGAATTTTCCTATTAATGAATTAAAGCATAATTAGGGCATTGCTGTGGGGAACCTATTAGATCTTTCATGCATAATTCACTATATTTAAATGAGATATTCCTCACATCTCCAAATCCTTAAATTAGACTGTGACCTGAAAACCTTCTAAGGCCTCCTATGAAACAGGAGCACAGAATCAAAATATTTAATGATATTATTGTAGAGCTTCAAAATGTTCTGGTAAGCATTTCTCTTATGGAAAAATAAAAAGACAAAGAAAACTAGTTCATAATATTAAGGAAAGAATACCATTAGAGCATCTGCAAAGTACATGTAATGGGCATATTTTTGACATGTTCTCACCATCCTAAAATTGTGCTTTTCACATAGAAGGAAAAATGGCTAACTTTAAAATTTTCCATGTTTATAAAAACCCATGTGGTGTCTCAGAGGATATATTTTCTTTCCTTCATTAATTTCTTCCTTTCTGTCTTCTCTCCTACTTCTTTCTTCACTGAAAACTATTTTAAAACACAAACTATATTTATATTATTTTTAAAGCATTTCAAACAACAGACCACTTTGTTAGAGATATTTAAAATATTTTGCAAACATTTTTTCTGGTCAAATAATAGTGATTTTTTAAACAGTTCTATCTTATTAATTTTCCTCTGTTCTATAATGACTAGCTCCCCATCTCTTACATCCTGCATAGAGAGCTTACAGACCTTTTCAAAAAAGTCTTTCCTAACTGTTTGACCTACTCATTCTCTTGCAAGCTTCTTTGACCTCATGTCTTTCACCATAATTATTAAGAATACAAAATATATACAATTATATATTGCTTATTTTCAGATCACTTAAAAAAAATAAGGGTTAAAACTGGTGTCCTGCAGAGTGCCCAGACTCTATTAAGTACTTAGTACAATTTGTTGACTGAGTCAGAGGGAATGGTGTGAGCCTGTTATCCCAGAAATTTGGGAGACTAAGTAAGGAAGATCACAAGTTGAAGGCAAACATCAGCAACTTAGCAAGATTCTGTCTCAAAGTAAAAAATAAAGGACTGGGTATGTAGCTCAGTGACAAAAATGGTCCTGGGTTCAAACCCCAGTAATACTCACCAACCCCCCTCCCCCCAAAAAAATGTTGTTTAGATGAAATGAGATAATGAAAACCAGGTAATTCTTCAAATAAGAATAACAGAAATATAAAGTCCATATTAAACATATAAAGCTAAGAGTTATATAATAACTGATTTAACTAAATATTTACAGACCTACTTTATATTCAATTAGAAAATTCAGCAAATTCCATATCTCAGCAGCTTCTTTACTGTATTACTAAAGCCACAGTGTTAGTCAGATTTAATCTGTGGAACAAATACCTGAGAAAAGGTTCTTAAAGGGAGGAAATATTTATTTTTCCTGGCAGTGGCTTCAGTCTACAATCAGCTGGTTCCATTGCCCTGAGCCTGAGGTAAGACAGAACATCATGGTGGCAGATAAAGCTGTTCATGTCATGGTTGCCAGAAAACAGAGAAAGAGAGGGGGCGGGGGGAAAGAAAGAGGAAGGGATTAGAGATGAGATACAGTCCCAAGGGCGTGCCTGAATATTGCTTTATTTGGTACCAAACCTGGACACATGAAACTTTAGTGGACATTCCATATCTAAAATATTATAGCTACCAAAACTTATTAAATATGAAGTGCAATGTATATAGCAACAAAAGTAGTATCTTTTCTTCTGCCTTTACATGGTTCATGGCTAATAACCCCGTCACAAAGACAGATTGAGGAGAAAATATCATAATAAATTCATTAAGAAAAGTTTTTTATGGTATAGAAATGTTCAAAAATGAAGATCCAAAGAAATGGGGGACAACGTATATTTTTGTTTTCGTTTGATGAAAGTTGTACAATTCTGTAGAAGTATGATTGAGTAAAAAAAGGTGTAGGCTAATTAAATAGCTGGGGGAAGAGAGAGTTATAGGTCTATTTATTCAGGCTCTTTTGGGCCACTCTGTATAGCATTCCTTCCCTCCAGGTATAGGCTAAGATACCTTACATGGGAGTGCTCAAAGGAGAGTGGGCAGGAGAAGATAAGAGAGACTTTTCTGATTCTGTAACTTTCTCAATTTCCTTCAACTTAAAATACTTACTGTCAAGATGCTGTATTTTGGAGTAGTATTTTCTTCACCCCCTCACATAGAATTCTGAAAAATGAATTTTGAAATTTTCTGTGAATATCTTTTAAAATAGTTTAAAGAAAAACTAAATCATCTCTGATTCATTGAAAACATTCATTAATTTAAGGCCATACATTGGAGATATTGGTTTGTTCCAGGTGACCACAATTAAGCAAATATTGTAATAACAAGACATGTGATTCCTTTTTTATTCTTTGTTTCCCAGTGCATATAAATGTTATGTTTATACTATACTTTAGCATATTCAGGGTGTGATGGAATTACATCTAAAAGATCAATAATTAAAATATACTATACTGATAAAAAGTAATAAAAATCATCTGAGCCTTCATCAAGTCAGCATCTTTTTACAGTTAGAAGGTCTTGCCTTGATTTTTTTTTTTTTTGACAGCTGACTGATTAGGGTGTAGTTGCTGATATTTGGGGTGGCTGTGGCAACTTCTTAAAGACAACAGTGGGATTTGCTATATCCATTGACTCATGAAGATTTCTCTGTAACATGCAAAAATGTTTGTTGCTGTAAGGTAGGCTGGTCAGCCCTGAATTGGGAAATGGTTATGTCCAAAAACCACTGAACCACTGGAACCTTATTTGACAGGCAAGCCCCTGGAAGATGGGGGCCTGGTATGTCA